TAGCAAGCTTCTGCTACATGTGGAAAAATACATCCCTCGGTGATTAAAGAGGAGTCTGAGGTCCTTTTTTCTCACCATTGTATCCTTTGTCCTCATCATTCCCACCTCATAACAGTAAGTGCTATATTTCGTGAATGAACGTTTGTAATTTCACATCAACTTCATAAAAAACATTTGGAAATGGAGGCCCAGAGACGTTAAGTAGCTTGTTCAAGGTCACACAGTCTGTCTAATTTATTTACTTATTTTTATTTTATTTTGAGACAGAGCGAGCAGGGTGGAGGAGGGGAGGTGCAGAGGGAGAGGAAGAGAGAATGTTAAACAGATCCTCTGCTGAGCATGGAGCCCTTACATAGCTCAATGAGAGACTTGATCTCACAGCCCTGAGATCATGACCTGAGCCAAAATCAAGTCAGATGCTTAAGTGATTGAGTCACCCAGGCACCCCCAGTCTGCCTGGGCCCCTCTCCTCTCTCCCCTCCTCTTCCTCTTTCTTTTTAAACATTGAGGTAAAATTCGCATAACAAAGATGGAGGCTGCCTTCCCTTCGAGCTCACAGCACATTCCACAGTCATTGCCACCAGTAATCAGGTGCCCTGTGAAGGTGACATGGGAAAGGCAGAGAGAGGAGAAGGAAGCTGAGGCAGAGGAGGTGAGAGGAGGGAAAAAGTATTGTGTAGCAGGCAGAGCTGCTGGGGCACAGCCTAGTTCTAGAGAGTGTCTGTGTCACCTGGTGCTGGACAGGGGAAGGAGTCCCCAACCCGGCCATGAGGCACCGTGAGAAGCTGGATGACCAGGACGCCTGGGTGGCTCAGTTGTTGAGCCTCTGCCTTCGGCTCAGGTCGTGATGCCAGGGTCCTGGGATCAAGCCCCACGGTGGGTTCCCTGCTCAGCAGGAAGCCTGTTTCTCCCTCTCCCACTCACCCTGCTTGTGTTCCCTCTCCCAATAATGAATAAAAATTAAAAAAAAAAAAAAGGAAACTGGATAACCAACAGATCAAGAATTTCAAGAACAAAGGCCATGACATGGAAGGAAGACTTTTGCAAAAAGTTATGTATGGCCTATACCCCAGTAAACTGCATAAACTAGATGAAATTGGTAAGTTCCTATAAACACACAACCTACTGAGACAAGCAGGAATGGCTAGAAAATCTGAGCAGACCTCTAGCCAGTAAAGAGATTGAGTCAGTCATAAAAAATTTCCATTTCCCAACAAAGAAAAGTCCAGATGGCTTTTCTGATGAATTCTGCCAAACATTTAGAGAAGAATGAATACCAATCCTCCTCAAACACTCCCAAAAAGGAGAAAAAAGAGAACAATTTCAAAATCATTCTAGGAGGCTCTCATTATCTTATTACCAAAGTCAGACAAAGACACGATAAGAAAACTACAGACCAATATTCCTGATGAACAATAATGCAAAAATCTTAAACAAAATACCAGGAAATTGAAATTGAACAGCATAATCCATTAAAAGGACTATACACTATGACCGAATGAAATCTATTCCTGCAAGGCGAGGATGGCTCAACATATGAAAGTCAGTCAGTGTAATACACGACATTCAGAACAGAGAACAAAAACCATATGATCATTTCAACTGACATAGAAAACGCATGTGACAAGGTTCAGTACATTTCATGATAAAAACACCTAACAAACTAGGAATAGAAGGAAACTACCTCAACATAATAAAAGCCATATGTGAAAAGCCCACAGTGACTATTATACTCTTTGGTGAAAGACAGAAAGCTTTTCATGTAAGATGAAGAACAAGGCAAGGATGGCTGCTATCATCATGGGTGTACAGAGTAGTCCTGGAAGTCCTAGTCATAGCAATTAGACAAAAAAAGGAAATAAAAGGCATCCAAATCCAAAGGAAGACGTAAAATGATCTCTGTTCACAGACAACATACTCTTATATGTAGAAAATCCTAAATATTCAAAAAAAAAAAAAAAAAACAAAACCTGTTGAGCTAACAAATGGTCTCAGCAAAGTTGCAGGATAGACACAAAGTCAACACACAAAAATTAGTTGTATTCCTATACACTAATGAGGAACAACCTGAAAAGGAAATTAAGAAATGAATCAAGGAGTGCCTGGGTAGCTTGGTGGTTGGGCATCTGCCTTTGGCTCGGGTCATGATCTTGGGGTTCTGGTATCAAGCCCCATGTCTGGCTCTCTGCTCAACAGGGAGCCTGCTTCTCCCTCTCCCTCTACCACTCTCCCTGTTTGTGTGCTCCCTCTTGCTCTCCAATAAATAAGTTAAATTTTAAAAAAAGAAAAGAGAAATGAATCAATTTACAATAGCATAGGAAAACAAAACACTCAGGGATAGACCCAATCAATGAAGTTAAAGACTTGCATGCTAAAAATGAAAAAATGTTGCTAAAAGAAATTAAAGACACAAATAAAAAGAAAGACGTGTTGTGTTCATAGATCAGATGACTTAATATTGTTAAGATGTTGATATTATGCAAAGCAACCTATAGATTCAATGCAACCCTTATCAAAATCCCAATAGCATTATTTGCAGAAATGGAAAAATCCTTCCCAAAATTCATATGGAATCTCAAGAAACCTGGAAATAGCCAAATCAATCTTGAAGGAACAAAGTAGGAAGTCTCATGCTTTCTGATTTCAAACTTACTACAAAACTACAGTAACCAAAACAAACAGTGTGGCGCTGACAGAAAGGCATATAGACCAACGGAAAAGAATAGAGAACTCAGAAATAAACCCTCATATATATGGTTAAATGATTTTTGACAACAGTGTCACAATCATTCAACGGAAAAAAGGTTTTCAACCTGTGGTATTGAAAAAACTGGATATCCACATATGAAAGAATGAAGATGGACACCATAAACAAAAAGGAACTCAAAATGGACCGAGGACCTAAATGTAAGAGCTAAAATTATAAAAATCTTAGGATAAAATATATGGGAAGAGCTTTGTGAGATTCAATTTAGCAATGATTTATTGGATATGACATCAAAAGCACAGAAAACAAAAGTAAAAAATAGATGAATTGCACTTTATCAAACTCAAAAACTTCTGTTCATCAAAGGAAACAATTAACAGAATGAAAAGGCAACCTATATAAGAGGAGAGATTATTTACAAATCATAGAGGTGAAAAGGGGGTAAGATCCAGAATATACAAAGAACTCCTAAATTCAACAGCAAAAATTGTAAACACCGCTATTTTTAAATGGGCAAAAGACTTCAATAGACATTTCTCCAAAGAAGACGTACAAATGACCGACAGGTACATGAAAAGATGCTCAACATCACGCATTATCAGTGAAATGTGATCAAAACCACAATGAGTTATCACCTAACACTCATTTGGATGACTACTATAAAAAACAAACAAACAAACAAACAAACAACAAAATAGCAACTGTTGGTGAAGATGTGGAGAAATTAGAACTCATGTGCTGGTGAGAATGTGAAATAGGAAAATCACTATGGAAAAAAGCAGTATGCCAGACCCTGAAAAAATAAAAAATTAAGAATAGAATTACCATATAATCCTGCAACTGCCCAGGGTTTGGGAAGAGAGAGAGGGATGAATAGGTAGCACACAGAGGATTTCTAGGGCACAGAAACTACTCTGTCCAATACTATAATGGTGGACACACGTCATTATACATTTGTCAAAACCTACAGACTGCACACCAAGAGCAAATCCTAATGTAAACCATGACTTTGGGTGGTAATGTTGATCAATGTAGGTTCATCAATTATAACTAGTGTATCACTCTGTTAAAGGACGTTCGTGGGGGAAGTCATGTTTGGGTAGGGAGGAGAGAGTATATGGGAACTCTACACTTTCTGCTCCATTTTGCAGCAAATTGTTCTAAAAATAAAGTCTATTTAAAAATTCAAATAACATACAATTAGCCATTATCCATTCTAAAGTGTACGATTCAGTGGAATTTGGTACAGAGTATCATCAACCCTCACCTCCATCTGAATCTAAGATATTTTCACCACACCAAAAGGGAACAGCTACGAATTACTCTCCATTCTCTCTCCCCTTGCCCCCTGGGGGCTACCCATCTAATTTCTGTCTGTATAGATTTGCCTGTTCTGGATATCTCATATAAATGGAATCATGCCATTCATGGCCTTTTGTAACTAGCTTTCATCACTCAACATGTTTTCAAGATTCATACATGTTGTAGCATGTATCAGTACTTCATTTATTTTTAAGACTGAGTAATGTTCCATTGTGTGTATAGACTACATTTCCTTACCCATTCATCAGCTGATGGACACTTGGGTTGTTTCTGCCTCTTGGCTATTGAGACTAGTGGCACTGTGAATACGTGTGTACAAGTCTTTGTTTGAATACCTGTAATGGATTCTTTTCTTAATGTTACATGCCTCCTTATCCTTAGATGGGGGGGGAGTTAAAAAGCAGCATAAAAATAAAATTAACATTTAAATATCAAATTAATGTTATTTTTAAATGATTAATAATAATGTTTAAATGAATAATATTTAAGAATTAAACAGTACCTAACACACTTTATCATTTCATCATTATAATCCCAAAGTAGATATTATCACCTCCATTATGTAGATCAAGAACCCGAGTCTCAGCAGGTTAAATAACTTGTCCGTGGTTACACAGCCAGTGAGTGGAAGCCAACATTGGACCCCAGGTTTTTCTGACCCCTTGCTGACTCTGTGACTACCTCACTCATCAAACTGGCAGAGGAGGTGAGAGAATGGATAAGAGGTACACTGCCTTAAAAACACAGACTATATCCACAAACCCCGAGGAACAGTGAGTGGTGATGATCTGGCTTTTTGGGTATGTGTCAACTGCTCATTGGGATCATTCCAGGCCCTCTCCAACCCATCAGGTGATTATCTGAATGAATACAGCTGGTCTAGCTCCCTCCATCCCCAACCAGCCCAGTCTCCCTTACCCTAGCGGGATTAGTGGGACTAGTCCAAGCATGGACTATGTGGGTCACATACCTGGGCCTGGCTGCTCTGTGCCCAGGTCTCCTGGATTCTCTTCAGAGAGTTCCTGTAGGCACTGGTCCTGTTCCTCTTGCAGCACCCGCATCACATCACACAATCCAGGGAGGGCACCCACCTGCAAGTCCAAAACCCAGATTGCTCATCACGGCCCCTAACTACTGTGTACCACAAAAAGACTTTCTGTGCATGAGAATGGGGCCAAACAGTGGGGATTCAAAATGAGGAAAACAAAATCCATGCCAGGAAGGAGCTCCTCACAGTGAGGTGGAGGCAGCCACTCCTCGAAGAGAATTCAGACCAGGGCTGGGACAGCCAGGACACTCAAACACAATGCAGCTTGTCCACTGAAAATCTTGCTCTTAGGTTTCCCAAGAGTCCTGAGCCCAGTGAGTTACTTGCTTTCTGGGCATCTTACCATTATTAGTCTGTAAGACTTCATTTGTTCCAACAGTGTTTATTTCTCAGGTTTGGCAAGTTTGGTTTTGGTTTGAAGGTCTTTGAAAGCTATGCTTGTCTATGTCCCAGTTCCCTAGAAGAGCATCTATGGCCACCCCAGGCAGACAGCGATGGACAGAGGAGTTGGACAGGAAGGGTTAGCACACAGTCCTGGCTTCCCAGCTCTTCCTAGAGTAGATTTCCAGAACATGGCTCGCTTCTTTTATTCATGCCTAACACTTGATAAATATGTGAGTGATTGGGTAAATGAATGAATGAATGAACAAAAGAACAAGTGAAAAGATCAATGAATTAGACTCCTACTTTACTTTCTACAGAGTATGGAATTTTAATATTAGAGTCTTTTCACACACATTATTACCTTATTTAATCCTCAAAATAACTCTGTAAAGAGACCCAGGAAAGGCAACTGAAACCCATTGTGGTTAGGGCATGTGACCAAAGGCTGACACCCAGGGTTCCTGATTTCAGAGACCAGCCTTCCAAGAAGTCAAAGGCCAGCTTTTATATGCTCCTGTCGACCTTGCACCAGTGCTTTGCAGGTGGAAATGTCAACATAATGGAGCAGGGAGAGAAGTCCCTGGGGACAAGGCCATGCTCTAAAATGGCACAAATCAACAAAAGATCTGGCCAAAGAAGGGCAGCTAAGGTAGCACTGTCTTCCAATGATTCCAAAGACAAACATAAATTATCTGATTATCTCTTATTTTGGGTCTTCCACACTCTTCACTAATGCAGTCAGAAAGTATCTATCTGCAGGGTGCCTGGGTGGCTCAGTAGGGTAAGCATCTAACTTTTTATTTTGGCTCAGTTCATGATCTCAGGGTCATGAGATGGAGCCCTGTGTCAGACTCCGTGCTGAGCTTGGAATCTGCATGAGATTCTCACCCCCTCTGCCCGACCCCCTACCCCCTCTTGGCACTCTCTCTCGGGAAAAAAAAATATATATCTATCAGCTGTCAGCAAATGCTCTACTCCAGCTACTCCCTGATACCAAGCGACTGGGTCTGTAATGCCCATGAAACACACACATCACATCCCCTGGCCCAGAGCCTGTGATCATCTGCAACAAAGCTACCATAGGAACACCTGTGCCCACCCAGCATTAAAATCATACTGTGCTCATTCCTTCCCCAGTCATCTCCCCTACATTTCCATCTCACACCTGACAACATAACAAATGACTTCATAGCATTGTTTTGATGACTCTTATATTTAGGGAAGTGGCTTCCCTAAGAAAACAGTCATTGTTAGGAGAACCAGCAGGAAGCCCCATATACTCATGCTCTTGTCCCCTTGTGGGGCTCTGCCCAGTCCTTGCTGAAGCTCATCATCACCAGCAGCCTCTGGCTTTTTGGCAGAGGCAGTAGAAGAGTTTCAGTGGAAAAATCCACCTACAGGTTTCCAGGCTGCCTTTAGTTCACCAAGGATCTCAAGTAGGCACACATTCTGTTCAGTGCCACTTTGAAACTAACATTACCCTTAAAAATGTGAGTGACTGCTGGAGGTAGTGTGAGCAGGTACAATCTTTTAAATGTCATCATGTATTAAGTGTCACAAAAATGTTCATACCCTTTGGCCAACTGACTTCACTTCTAGGAATTCACCCCTTATGGGAAAAGCTTTATATAGAAAGATTCTATTGCAGCTTTACATTTAGTAGAAACAAAGAGATAAACTTCAGCTTTCAGGAAGATGTAGTACATGTACCTTTTTTCTATTACTCCCGTTAAGTACAACAAGAAATCCTGGACATCATATACAAAACAAGCATAAAAAGATTCTGGAAGGTGGAAAGAAGGCAAAGTGGCTAAAGACCTCCTGACTCAAGGAAGTGATGAGTTCCCTAAAGTTTCTTTTCTCTTTGTATAACCCATTACTAAAGCTGAATAAGTTAGCAATAAGAAAATGCAGCCAGAGGCAGACCAAACCCCCCTCCCCCCCGTAAAAGCCTGCTCTCTCAAGCCAAGGACCAGGAAGGAGGGAAGGTAGCAAGACAGAAAACATATAGACAACAACTGCCCCACAACAGCCAAACACCACAGAAAAAACTGTGGTCAGCTGGGGAGCCAGGACTCCTGCCTTCCCTGGGCTGTGAAACCGGTCCCCAACCTCCCTGCCAAGGTGGTGGCACAGATGGCCAAGCAGGGAGCTGAAAATTCATCCCTGCTGTGCGCTAGCAAAGGTCCCCCCAGCCCATGATGTTAGTAGAAACTGAACTTCCACCCTAATCCAGAAGTAATGAGGTGCTCCTCCCATTCCCCAGTGGGGTGCTGTCTCAGGTGCTGAACGAAAAGAATGGTCAACCCAGAATCCTATACTCAGTAAAAGATATCTTCAGAAATGAAAGGGAAATCGAGACATTTTTTTTAATTTAAAAGATTTTATTTGTTGGACAGAGATAAACATAGCAAGAGAGGGAACAAAAGCAGGAGGAGTGGGAGAGGGAGAAGCAGGCTTCCCACTGAGCAGGGAGCCCGATGCAGGACTTGATCCCAGGACTCCGAGATCATGACCTGAGCAGAAGGCAGCCGCTTAAGGACTGAGCCTCCCAGGGTCCCAAATCAAGACATTCTTAAAGGATAAGAAAAACTAAAATAATTCATTGCAGCACCCTACCCTCAAAGAATGGCTAAAAGAAGTTTTTCTAAATACAGAGGGGGGCCTAGTGGGCACTCACAATTTTCACCACCAGCAATGGTGATAAGACTCCATCCACTGCTGTGTTATAAGATCATGTGGGAAGCTGATACTCCCACCCCTCACTCAGCAGTAAGGGAAGATCCTCTCTTCCTTGCCAGTGTCCAGTAAGGCAGAATGGGGCAGCTGGAAGTCTACTTACACCTGTCAGAAATGGGGCAGCACCCACCCCCTTCCCCCATTGGGAAAAGCCAACTAAGGCAGGTTTAAATAAGATGCAATCTAACAGCAATACAAAATGTCCTGCTTTCAGTCAAAGATCACTCATCATATTAAGAACCAGGAAAATGTCAAACTGAATGAAAAGGGGTGATCCACTGATGCCAACACTGAAAAGACAGGGATCTGAAACAATGTGAAAAAGACTGTAAAGCAGCCAACATAAAAATGCTTCAGTGAGCCATTAGAAGTATACTTGAAACAAATGTAGAGATATAAACCTCAGCCAAAAGAGAAAGTCTCAGCAAAGAAGTAGAAGATATCAAAAAATAAAATGTAAATATTACAACTGAAAAAGACAATAACTGAGGTAAAAAGCTCAGTAGAAGGGCTCAGCAGAATGGTGGTGGCATTGGGGGGGACATACAGAGGAAAGAGTCACTGAGGTAGAAGACAGGGCAGTACAAATCTCTCAATCTGAACAACACGGAGAATAAACCAAAAATAAAAATGAACAAGTTTCAAGGCACCTGGCTGGCTTAGTTGGCAGAGCATATGACTTTTGATCTTAGGGTTGTGAGTTCAAGCCCCATGTTGGAGCTTCAGTAAAAAGTAAAATTTAAAAAAAAATTGAATAATCCAGAAAGAAAGAAAATAAACAGATTTTCAGGGTTATCCAGGACAGCAGAAGCACAATCCCATAAAAGGAAAAATGGATAAATTGGACTTCATTAAAAATTAAAAACACTTCCGTTTCATGAAATACCATATTAAGAAGATGAAAGGACGAGTTACAGACTGGGAGAAAATATTTGCAGATGCATATTCAAGAAAGGACAGGTATCTAGAATTTATAAAAACATTCAAAACTCAACCGTAAACAAACAAAAAATCTAGTTAGACATAAGTAAAAGACATGAAATGAAGAGACATTTCACAGACAACATACAAATGGTAAATAAGCACATGAAATGGTTTTCAAAATTATTAGCTATTAAGTGAACGCAAGTTGAAACCACAATGTGTTATCACTATAAGTCTATCATAATAGCTTAAATTTTAAAAATAGTAACAACAGATGTTGGTGAGGTTGTAGAGAAATTAGATCATGCATACATTGCTGATCGGAATGTAAAATGATATAACCACTCTGGAAAACAGGTCGGCAGTATTTTTACAAAAGCTAAATATGCAACCTTTATATGACCCAGCCATTGCACTCCTAGGCCTTTATCCAGGAAAATGAAAACTTATATTCATGCAAAAATCTGTACATGAATATTTATTTATAGCAGCTTTATTCATAACAGCCCCAGACTGAAACAATCCAGATGTCTTCCAGTGTGAATAATTGAACAAATGATGGTGAAACCGTAGTATGAAACTCCACTCAGCAATAAAAAGGAACAAACTATTGATACATGGGCCAACCTAGGTGAATCTCCAAGGAAGTACGCTGAATGAAAAAAGTCAGTCCTGGGGCACCTGGGGGGCTCAGTGGGTTGGGCCTCTTCCTTCAGCTCAGGTCATGGTCTTGGGGTCCTGTGATCGAACCCCGCATCGAGCTCTCTGCTCAGCAGGGAGCCTGCTTCCCCCTCTCTCTCTGCCTGCCTCTCTGCCTACTTGTGATCTGTGTCAGATAAATAAAATCTTAAAAAAAAAAAAAAAGGAAAAAAAAGCCAATCCCAAAAGGTTACCTACCATACTGTATGATTCTGTCTATGTAACTCTTGAAATGATGAAGTTATATAAACAGCAGATTAGCGGTTATCAAAATTAAGGAATGGGTAGGAGTGGGAG